GATTGGCTGATTAATACGTCTGGGAGGATAATTTTCTTAGCCACTATTTGAAAAATAGAGATTAGGGAAATCGTGTCCTTAATTGTTAATTAATAACGTATATGATGTGCTTTTCATTTCCTGATTTACAAATCAAACGCAACTTGTACAAAATTTGTTGGGATATTGTACCGGAAAATGATTGGCATGGTGGGTTCATGGCTTTATGTCTTTTACTCGTACCGAGAGAAAGGACCTCCTCAACGGGAAAGCAACAACAACACTAAGACAGCCATACGAATTTGTGGTGAAGCCAACCGAAATACTTACAGGCCACATCACACGTCAGTGGCTTACGATTATTTAAGCGATTGTAGAAAGCAACTCATGTGTGTATAATGAGTAAATTATTGGTGATGTACTGTTGAATTCAATGTATTGTAAAATAAAATACAATGTTTGATGATGCGTGTGATGGTGTATATTAAGTTAGTTAAAAACTGAGATAGAACAATTTCACATATACAATCGCAACTTCTAAACGACTCCTACATATTTGGCCACTCGAATGATTTTTCAGGTGTGGGATTCACGAAATTTTTCTTATTTGTTAGTTATTCAATTCAAAACTCGTTTAAGCATTGGTCATTATCCGTTCAATATTGTTAAATTTATTCTACATGACGGTCAATTCTATTGTTTGACCATTAAATAAGTAGTAATGTGAAAATTAAAGTATAAAAATAAAATTTATTTATTTGTAATTGTCCACCTCACAATCATAATTATTAAAAAAATTAAAAAAGAGTCCTTTTTAATTTCAACCAAGGTTGTCAATCCGGTTTAGCCCATTGGGCTGGTCGAGTAAGTGGGTTGAGTGTTAATGGATCGAACGCTTTAACTCGGTTTAGCCTGGATAAATGGTAAAACTCATTATATTGTTCATACATATATAAATTATACAAAATCTCATCTAACATATGAGTAATAACTAATAACATATAACATTACACTAAAATAACATGTCGTACTTGGATCCAACATCTAGTGAAAATTCACACACACTTATATAACATTAATGTTCAACTTAGAATTCCAAAGATCGGGTTAGGCGAAAGGAAAAATAGGAAAATAGGCGTATTTAACCAACCAAAGGAAAAACGACGTCATTTGACCTCCAATATGATACCTTGCAGTGGGTCGACCTGACAAGTGTGTACGACTCGTTTACCTCACTAGGTCAGGTTCAAAGGGGGCCAACTGAAGAATCGACCCGCGGGTTGACAACCTTGATTTCCACCCACCACCATGGATACTCATTCGTTGTTTTCCAGCTATTGGCAGTGTTATTTTTCCTATTACTAATAATTTGAAATCATAATTAATCTGTAATCAAATACCAATTCTGCCGATGAAGTGAAAAGACAACAAATCAGAAACAAACATATTGAACACGTTTGATGACAAGGTAGTTTCAATCCTGTAATAATATTTGATAAAATGTTTTGCAATTAATATTAGGGGTGGGAAACGATCTATAACAGATTGGACCAGATCATATGGTCCATGATCCAAACCAAGAGTCTAGGACACAGATCATGGACCAGACAATGTACAGTATGGTCCAAACCAGACCACGCCAGTACGGTTGCGGTCTGGCACGATCCAGACCACATACCATATTAAAAAAAAATCACCAACATACATATATATTAAGTAGGAACACTCCACAATTTCGTCATTTTCAATATAACTGCCACAATACCCCACCATATGGCAACATTTTCACATAAAATGAGATGGAATTACTATGCTTGATAAGCACATTAATCACCCTAAAATTAGATTGAATTACTAGCTGGCTGCTGAGCATGGTCCAAATGCGTTCATAGACGAAGTAGTGATATAGTTTCGCCAGTCAAAATTATAAGATTCCTTTATGGTATGACGTTGCCATTCATTATGATAGTTTTGATGATGACTACTATAATCTAGCTACTAACTAATCAACCTATTTTTACATGTAAGGTATAAATCGTATATATAGCACATCACCAATGGACTTGTGCAACATCCTCCAAAACAATAACAAAGAACGAACCATGCTAAATGTGCGACAGTTAGAGAGATAGTTTACACAATACATAACACAACTAAAGTGGAAATGCTATTTGTGTTTGAATTTGCCAAGCTCTAAAGTATGCTCTGGTGTTAACACACACAATGCATGGATTATCTTTGTGTATTTTGAATTGGATATCCTTCCACTCGGAACATTAAATGTTCTCTCTCTTTGTAAAGATTATTATTGTTATTTGTTGGATGTCTTTTGGTGCAACCGCTGACTAGGATAAGAGCAAAAGAAATAGCCTGGACGGTTAACCACGGTCCAGACCAGGCCAAACCGTCCCAGACCGCTAGTTAAAAAGACAGACCATAGACCAGACCAAGTTGCATAATGGTCTTATGATCCGGACTAAATCATACGGTACGTTCTAAATTGCGATTTTGTCATACGGTTTGATCTAGATTCCCCACCCTGATAGAAAAATTTGAAATGATGAAATATATTGTGAGAAAGGGTTCCCTCTTCTCTGTAATGCGATGATTTTACATTTATAAAATAGAACTCTTCATCTAAAAAGGGCTGGGTTTCAAAAGAAAGAAACGACAGGTTTGACTGTGACTGATTTCACAGCGAGAAAATGGTTGCGGAAGCCGCCGGAAAGAGACAGAGGTGGTGGTGGCCGGCCGGTGGGACTGCAGTAGATCAAGTGGAGAAGAAGAAGAAGGGGCCAAAATTGAGAAAGGAAAAATCCCCTTTATCATTTAATTTAATTCTTATCTCCTTTTTCATGGCAATGTCCACAAATGTAGCTGTCCATCTTCTGAAATACTCTCTTGATTTTTCCCCCTCAAAACACATTAATTTGTCCCTATCTCCTTTCAGTTAATGGCTTCTGTCAAATATGGGGAGCCTGCCTTCATAGACATACGATATCGTAGCTTCCCGTCGCTGGATGCGAATATTTCTCTGTTTGTTTGTATCCTATGGCAGAGCCAAAGGAATTGTGAGTGGACACATCTAAAATTTGGAAATACCTATCAAATTTAATTGGATACATTTGTTGTGTGTTCGATCCACTTGTTAGTAAAATACGGTACGGGAAAGTTACGTAAAAGATACGTACGGGCACTATACTTCATCTTTAAGCTAAAATTACGTTTAATAGTACGTTAATAGTCATAAATATATAAAATTAATCATTTTAAAAATAAATAAATATATAAATAATAGTAAAGTTAACAATTTAATTCGTAAAATACGGATAATAAACGTGTTATACGGGTTTTATAGGTGTTTAGTACGGGAACCATGAAATGAACGGGGGAAAATGAAACGGCTTGACAATAATACGGATACGGAAGTTTTAAACGGATAAAGTACGTACGGATACATATACGTGTATTAAACGGAGTATTTACTAACTATGCTTTCAGCAATCCGTGGGTTTATAAAATTTTTGAGTAGCATCAATCGCTCTTATAAAAAAAGAATATAGACAAAAAAAAAATTCCTAAGATATGAAAACACATTGATGTTGTTTATAAAAAAAAAATTGTATTAATCAATTAATTCTTCTTTTATGAATGAACTTACTTGAATATTAATCTTAAAAATATTTATTCAAATATTTATGTAATATAAATGGACACACCTGTTTCTATCTTCTAGCTCCACCAATAGACCATATGTACATGCATTTCTATACTATTATTATACAAATATCTTTCATCTATGCATGTATTTTCGAATACAAAATAGATGCAAATATATAGGATGGAGAACACACTTCTAGTTTAGTAATATTGAAACAATATCTTAACTTTAAGATGTCGAGTAGGATTCTTATACACGTCTTGCTAATTTTCTCTTTTCAGTGAATTAAGTAGTGTCCAATTCGAATATTAATAACCTCCTCCTTATCCATCAAGAAAAATTATACCTATTTCAATAGAGTTTTCTAAGCTTACCAATTACCAATACCATGAACATCATCTGGCTCTCCTATCAGTATGTGGTTCACTTAATATAAAGAATGAGTAGTATACCGACACAAGTCATTGCAATATTGAGATTCAGGTGCATCAATCTATATGCTCTATGATGTAAAGGAATTTATGCATGTCAAAAGTATGTGCGCGCGTGCTACATTTTGTCAGTGAATTATGTGACCTATTTAGGGAATTGTAAAACCATACGAGAGTTGCTCAGTGACACAATATTTTGTGCTTAAATTGAGATTCAACTTTTTTTTTTATATATATATTTATAAAATTGTGATTGACGCTTTTTTCGATCAAACCATCTATATGCAATGGTATAGTTTTTCAAACACTGTGTACCATCAAACCAAATGTACTATTCATCTTAGTTACTCGGTTTCTTAACGGATGTCATTGTATAAAGCCAACTGAAGAACTCTCCAGTTAGAGTAAGAGTAGGAGTAATACAAGAGCCACTCGTTTCGTCTGGCTGAAATACATAACGGTGACTACAATTGCATCTATCTATCTATCTATACTTTACCCAAACTAAAGGGCAGACAGAATTTCCACCACATGCATTTCAAAGCACTCCAGCCAATTATATGAAAAGGGGACACAATGATTGAACAAGCAATACACACACTATTAATTATATGCATAAACAACAAATATTATTATTATTTCAAACAAATCTCAACCGTTCGACCCAACATTCAAATCCAAACCACAAGAAAACATTGAGAATTTCGGAAAAGAAAGTTAACACATACTTCCTCAAAGGAAAGCCAAAAGCAAAGAACGCGAAAATGCAGAGAAGGGTTCGAATCAGTTGTAGCCTTCGGGCTTGTAAGCGATGAAGGAGATGCACTGCACCTGACGCTTGTTGTCGAACCCGATGATGCGGACGAAGGCCTGTGGGTACTCCTTGACGCACTCCTGGAGCTCCTTCAGCACCTGGGACGAGTCGGTGCACCCGAACATGGGCAGCTTCCACATCACCCAGTACCTTCCGTCATAGTACCCCGGGGACCTGTTGTTCTCACGGTACACGAAACCGTGCTGCACATATCGACACACAAGTTTCAGCACGCACATTATAACATAATACTACGCGCATTTGAAAGACTTGAAGAACGAACCTCCAACTCGAACTCGAGGCAAGGAACCCATCCGGAGCGGAGCAGGTAGTCGACCTCCTTGCCCAACTGCTCCTCCGTCAATGGGGGAAGGTAGGAGAGGGTCTCGTACTTCTTCAAACCCAGTGGTGGCCACACCTACACCAATTTTTACCAACCATATCTTTTAATTATGTTCAATAAAACAAAGAGAGAGAGGAGGGAATTAAGATCGAAATTAAGTGAAAGTTGAGCCGAACCTTCATGCACTGGACTCTGCCACCGTTGCTTGTGATGGAAGTAATGTCGTTGACGGACTTCCTGGTGGCGGGGAAGGCGGCGGTGGACTTGAGGCCGGTGAAAGGGGCGACCATGCTGGCCTGAGCGCCGGTGCGGCTCACGGTGGCTACGGCGGAGGACGAAATCATGGACGCCATTTTTTATGGAAAAGAAACTTTGCCTTACTGGGTGTTCAGTAAAGCAGCTCTTTGCTTAATGTTTGTTTATCTGCGTCACACCACCAATCGGGGTAACATTTTTATAGTGGTGTGCTACAATTCCCGCTTGCTGCCGTCCGTTGGTTGTTGATTTGCTGGATGAGGGTAAGGGATTGGATCTGACCGCAGGTTTGGATTAGGTTGATGAGCTCGTAACCATTTGTGGAAACATAAAAATGTGGATTTTTATGTTTGTAGTTGTTTTTTACTTAAATATTTGAAATATTTTATGACTTATGTATTGAAAAGTTTGATTTTATCATTGATAATGCATATAATTGCATATTTATTGTTTATATTAGGGGTAAAAAATAATTTAAAAGTGAGAAGATACAAATAACTTAACAAATTCGGTTTTGTGTGAAAAACCGAACCGAACAGAATTATAATTCGGTTCGAATTTGGTTTTAGGTTTGGGAGAATTCGGGGACCCGGTATTCATAATTTCGATTCGGTCGAAACCGAACCGACCGAATGTCCACCCTAGAAGCAGGGTATATTGCACTTCAATGGTGAGAACAAAGTTTAAGAGTCTAAAAATCCATTGAGAGATACCATATGTGAGACAGTAAAAATGAAAGTCCAACCCATGTGAGAACAAAGCTTTCATTACATATACTTTAAGGGCACAACGAGGAGATATATTCTTCCTATTGTACATCTTCACCATTTCATGAGTCAGAGTATATTATCACTTCTCACCTCCCCTTGATAAAAGCATACTGGTTTAGACTTATGATATGAGGCAGAACTTCCTTCAATCTATTAACTAAAACCTTAGCAACACACTTGTAAAGTATGTTGCAACATGAGATAGACCTATATTGCTTCATGTTTTCAGCATTTCGAGTCTTTAGTAATTAATCTAGGAAAGCACTCCCTCCTCACATAAAAACACACAAGATAGACTTGTTCCACCTTTGTTTCGCAGATGACCAGTTTATCTTTACCAAGGGAACTCCTGAAGCTGTTATTATCACTAAAAAGATCTTTTAGGGGTCGTTTGGAAGTTGCGATTGTTTTGTTGAGATTGTCATTATTCATGTATTGTTTACAATGCATTATTTTTTTGATTTTTTAGCAGAAACAATACATGTATTGTTTCTGTGATGTGACAGAAACTATCACTCATTTTGAGTGATTGTTATATCTCAACTTTTAGTTGTGATTGTTGAGATAGTTGAGTTGGGATTGTTTTGTCTCAGCTTTTAGCTAATGCGACATACACAATCACACATACCAAACGTTGTATTCTACAATGCATCAAATTCAACAATACATGTATAATATTATACATGCATTCTCAACAATACATCTATTTAACAATTGCAACTTCCAAACGACTAGATTCCTTCTATGAGCAGTGGCGGAGGGAGAGGGTAACAGGGTGGGTCCCGGGACCCACCCTGGTTCGTGAGGAAAATGGTTAAACTAGGTACAATAATTAATTGATATCGAAAATTAGGTCACATTTAATTGATAATAGTAGTTTTGTGTTTGAATCTAATACGGTATACATATTTGTGCAAACTTCAATTTCGTATAAGTCGATTTTCTTATGAGGGAGCATGCTAGTAAATGGTATCATAATATTATTGAATCTCTTCCAACAACTCGATTTATTGATACTAAATGTTTTTTTACAAAGAACATTATTCGAAAGCTAAATCATGAATTATTGATTGTTGTAGGATTTATTATTAAACCTCTATCAACAACTCAATTTATTGATACTAACGGTTCTTGACAAAGAACAACATTTGAAACAGTACGAGTGTACGACTATCTAAATCAATAATTGTTTGGTACGTAGAATGATATTCTTGATAATTTTTACTACTAATGCATTTTAATTTACCAAAAATTTTCAATTTAAGATTATATTAACAAAAATATTTCATCATATGTATTTTTTTTCTAGGTGGACCCACCTTATACGAAATCTTGGCTACGCCACTGTCTATGAGGTCTCTGGTCTTAAGTGTAATCCATCAAAGAGCGAGATTTTTTGTGCTGGTATTGATTCTCACACTAAGAGCATGATCGCGTTTGCCACTTGATTTCATATTGGTACTCTTCCTGTTAGATATCTAGGTATGCCCTTAATTAGTTGCTAGGAAATTAAATGCATCAGATTGTAAAGCCTTAGTATGACTGATCATAAATAACACGATCTTCACCCTTGATAAAGTCCATAGCTGAAATAACTCGGTGGTAAGTTATTGAATATGTTAATTTGATGCATACTGGAGTCCTTCAACATGAGATTGGGCCGAAGTTGTAAGCGAGACTCACTTCACTTCCCCAACCGATGCAAAATTCTGTTTGCCTCCAACATTTAGCTATTGGCTTCTTTCTGCGGTTCAGAGGAAGAAGTGGAAGGATAGCTCTGTCGAAGACACAACTATGCATTTATTTTTGTTTTCAGCCTATTTGGAGTACAAAAACCTGGATCAAATTCCTTTTTTTTTTCCTATGTTTAATGTCTCGCTAAAGTATTTTATCATCCTAGCAAGTAGCAATAACCTCTGCTTCTTTGTGGCAATGACCCATTTTTTTATTAGATGGATATGAGGATTGGACTGGGCTGGAGTTTTCATGGGTCACTAATTTAGTACTCCACATTTTCATCATCTAATTATTATGTCAATGCATAAATTGTCTTGGTTTCGTTTGGAGATAATAGAAAATCAAGTTAATAATAACGAATCTTATGAATAAATACCTCTTAAATCAGGGTTGTATCGAATAAGTCAGTGTTATAAGGTATTTTATGTTTAAATTGTGGTTCAATTTTTCATACCAACAAAATCGTATATCGACTTAGGCATCAGTACGGTGCGATTTTTCAAATCATTACCATCAGTACGGTGCGATTTTTCAAGCACGGGTCCATCATGTGCCAAATGTACTATTCATCTTAGTTACTCCTGTTTCTTATCGGATGTTGTCATTGTATTTCTACGATTAGCCAACTGAGAAAGTCTCCAGTTAGCGAGCAGGACTAGGAGTAACACAATAGCCACTCGTTTCGTCTGTGGCTGAAATACCTAGCTGTGACTACTGCATCTATCTTTATCTAAAGGGCAGACAGAATTTCCACCACATGCATTTCAAAGCACTCCAGCCAATTATATGAAAGAAGAAGGAAGCCTAAGGTGATTCAATAATTGAACAAGCAATACACAGACCATCGTTATATGCTTAAACAATAAACATTATTATTTCAAACAAGTCTCAACCATTAATCCAACCACAGAAAAAACACATTGAGAATTTCGGAAAAGAAATTTAACATACACACACTTCCCTCAAGGGGAAACAATTAGGAAAGCCAAAAGTGAAGAACGCGAAAATGCAGAGAAGGGTTCGAATCAGTTGTAGCCTTCGGGCTTGTAGGCGATGAAGGAGATGCACTGCACCTGGCGCTTGTTGTCGAACCCGATGATGCGGACGAAGGCCTGGGGGTACTCCTTGACGCACTCCTGGAGCTCCTTCAGCACCTGGGACGAGTCGGTGCACCCGAACATGGGCAGCTTCCACATGACCCAGTACCTTCCGTCATAGTACCCTGGGGACCTGTTGTTCTCACGGTACACGAAACCGTGCTGCATATGTCAACACACAAGTTTCAGTACTCGTACTACAACATAATACTACTACTACTACGATAAGAGACCGTAGAACGAACCTCCAACTCGAACTCGAGGCAAGGAACCCATCCGGAGCGGAGCAGGTAGTCGACCTCCTTGCCCAATTGCTCCTCCGTCAATGGGGGGAGGTAGGAGAGGGTCTCGTACTTCTTCAAACCCAGTGGTGGCCACACCTACACCAATTTTCACCCAACCATATCTTTTAATTATGTTCAATAAAACAAAGAGAGAGGGAGGGAAGATCGAAATTGAAGTGAAGTTGAGCCGAACCTTCATGCACTGGACTCTGCCACCGTTGCTTGTGATGGAAGTAATGTCGTTGACGGACTTCCTGGTGGCGGGGAAGGCGGCGGTGGACTTGAGGCCGGTGAAAGGGGCGACCATGCTGGCCTGAGCGCCGGTGCGGCTCACGGTGGCCACGGCGGAGGAAGAAATCATGGACGCCATTTCTTAGAAAAACCTTGCCTTACTGGGTGTTCAGTAAAGCAGCTCTTTGCTTAATGTTGTTAATCTGCGTCACACCACCAATCGGGGTAACATTTTTATAGTGGTGTGCCCCAATTCCCGTTTGCTGCCGTCCGTTGGTTGTTGATTGCTGGATGAGGGTAAGGGATTGGATCTGACCGCAGGTTTGGATTAGGTTGATGACAAGCTTGAGGCAAGTGTATGCTGGGTGTTCAGTAATTAGAATTTTTTTTTTTTTGTTTTTGTTTTGTGGCAAGTGCAGGTCGGAACCCAAAGACGCTCGAGGGTCATCACAATTTTTTTTTTATTTTACTAGATTTGATCCCAGCCCGTTGGCCGGATACATTTAATTAAGTATATAAACAACAATAATAAATTTTCTCATTTGCTATGATAAATGAATCCAAATATTAAATTATTAAAGATATAAAATAAAAACATGAATCATAAATTTGAAAATTTTCCCACGTCCTAACCAACTCATCAAATAATATCAACGCCAAGACATCAACTAATATCAACTATTAAAAAATGTGTTCAAATCACGCTTCAGTTAGAATTACTTTAAATTTTCTTTTTGAATTCGTGATTGCTTCGTTATTAGCATTATCATCTCCACCGACAACAACACCTTCATCTTCATTAATAACACCTCTATTTTCACTATCAATTTTATATTATTAGTCTCCTGTATTTAAATGGTCTCTTCCTTCTCCTAAATTTAATGGTAAAGTTTTTACAAATATGAAACATATGTTTATGCAAGTAGATATTACCTCTTTCAAATAATGAATATTGTCTCATATTTGCACTTCTTACTTATTTTTTATACTTCTATCTCCACAATTACTTGTCTCTACTTTCTTCTTAACAATGTCATTATCTCCATCAATGAATGCACTACCTCCACCATTAAAAGACTCTTTTTTCTTCTTGTATGTTTCATTTAAAGTAAGAAGTTAATGGTAAAATATTTACACATGTGAAATGTCAGTGTTACAAATATCAAATAGTCGATCTTGTGGTTGTTTGGTCAACCAACTTGGTGTGAAGGTTGATCGTCACCTTTTTTTGTCCATCAATAAAAGAGATATATTTAACAGACTCCATATAAGTTTTAATTAGAGTTCAAATTGACTGAACTTGCATCAAATTCCATTTATTAATTAGCATACTATCTTTCTAGTAAATATTTTAAAACAAAATGGTAGAATCGTAAACTAAAAGGAGTAAAATATTGTCTTATATATTGACCAACTTGTAGTTTGGGGCTTTGGGCCCAGTAATGAAATTCTTTCTCCTCAGTCGAATAAGTGAGAAGAGGTCTTAAATTCATAAAAGCAAAAAAAAAAAAAAAAAAAAAACAACAACAAAGAAAACAAAAAACAAAAAGACACATGCATCCTTCCATGGGATGTGCAGAGAGCTCCAAATTGGGTTTAAACTCCCTCCTCACGTTGAATACCCTTATGGTAGTGTGTAAATTTGTACAAAGAAGCGGGTGTTAGAAGTATAGGGATCAATTGTAAATTAACCACAAATCCATATACGTGAAGGCAGTTGGGTTGGCTTGGGAGATAGGATTTACGAGTCATCTAGTTAAATAAAAGATGCCGACCAGTTTTGTAGCCTAAGCATTCTCAGTGAAATACGATTGACTCTGAGAGGTTGCTAATCTTCGTGGATTAGTCTCAACTATATTCGTTGGGGATACCATGTTAAGCTCTATGTTTGTGTGTGATTATTCTTCGTTTAGTATTGTGTTTGACAGCAGGTATATTGCACTTCGATCAGTGGAGAACAAAGTTTACAGTATGTTTTCCTAAGCCATCTCCATCACCGTCTTCAAATATACAACTACGTATTCGTCTCATATCCATGTGAAAAAGGTTTTGCAAATCCATTCTCATATTCGTGGGTTTCGAGTACCCCGTGAATAATACCCACCCTATACATTTAACATTAATATACTTATTATTTACATGTAAATTTTCAAGTATAATACTAGATGGACCTACTATATCATGAATTCAACAAAGATACAATTATTTTTAATACGGTTCAAATCATATGGTCCGATGGTCGTAAAATATCCATTAATTCAATAGGTAGAGTAGAATATTTTCCCAATCACTATTCTCTAACTCTCATTCATCTACTAAGTATTGATTAACTAACATAATTATCTTGTTAACAAGAGAAAAAAGTGAAAGAATGAAGGGAGAATTGAGGGAAAGGAGTTGGTTTTGATTTGGGCGACTACTCAATTACATTTTTACTATTTATTTTTCAGTTACCTTCACTGTCACTTATAGGTTACAATTTGATCCATGTATTTTTAATATGTGAATAAATAATTCTCGGTGAGGTGGGGAGGCTAAAACCATACACGCCTCATATAGGGGTGGGCGTTCGGTCGGTTCGGTTCAAACCGAACCGAACTGGTATACCCCGAGTTTCCGAATCACATCATCCATCAACCGAATTCGAACCGAACTATTATTCGGTTCGGTTTGGCCGAACCGAATTATAGCTCGGTTCGGTTCGGTTTTCTACTCCAAACCGAAAAATGTATGTCTGTCCATTTTTGTGCTTTTGTTATATCTTTTGGTCGCTGGGCCAGATGAGAGGGAGATTCTTTTATTCTTTACCTTCTCTCTCTCTGCTCACCCCACCAACGCAAGCTTTCCCCAATCTTCTTCTTCTTAACTTTTCTCTCTCTCTCTCTCGCCCAGCAAACAAGCTTCCCATCCCAATCCAAATCTCATTGCTCCTCACATAGTCTGGTATCACCACTCTATCTCCTCTCCCTCAAATCTGTTACTCTCGTTTTATCCTGGTGGGTCAACGCCATCTATGGAGGAACGACAAGATCTCGGTGTGTGCGGACGGGCAGCGGCAGTAGGATTGCGGTGCTCCAATCCCACTGACAGGCGACGTTGAAGAGGGAAATAGGATCTAGGATCGGGTAAGCCATTCAACATGCATGTGGTTTCTCGATTGATTTTCAGTAGTGATTTTCGTGCATGTGGATTTTTATGTTTGGATTTGGGTTTATGGTGTCAGGGAGAAGGGAGCGGAGAGAGGATAAAGGGGAAAGGGGTCTCGACTTGAACTCCAGTGGCCGGCGAGTTTACCTGGAGAAGAGAACAGAAAGAAGGGGGAATTCGGCGACGTCTCTAAATTAGGGGCATTGACAAAGTCGAGAGATGAGAGGAGAGTTCGGCGACGCCTACGAGCGGTGGAGGAGACGGTAGCGGCGACGGCCATGTTGGTATTTTTGTTAGGGTTAGGTAAACAGCAGCCAGCAGACATGGAGTTGTGGGCTTAGAGATGGGTTGTGTTTGATTTGAGTGGGTTAGGTTGCAGACATGGAGGAGTTGTTGGTTGAGGGATTTAATTTTGGGCTGTTTAAATTTGGGCCGAGAGTTTTGGGTTTTGTGAGAGCCTTAAGTAGTTAGTTGGGTTGAAGATTGTGGGTTTAAGTTTTAGTTCGGTTTCTCGGTTCGGTCTTTCGGAATTCGGGTTCGGTCTGTGTACTCTGGTTTCCGAAATACAGCCTTTTGTCTTCCGAATTCCGAACCGAAAAATAATATTTCGGTTTCGGTTCGGTTAAGTTCGGTTTCGGTTCGGTTCGGGTTTACCGAACCGCATGCCCACCCCTAGCCTCATACCCATCAAACTTTTTTGCAGTTTTACCCATACCCACCCCATACTCAGCCAATGTGGGAATTCCCCGTGTTGACGGAATCAGAGAAGCTCGGTTACCCACAATCATGGGTTTGATTGTCATCCCTAGACCCATGGAGAGATACAATGTGAGACATAAAAATGAAAGTCCAACCCACATGGTCCAATTTTATTAATCGTCGATTTTAGCGAATTAAATTCGGAGGGCATTTTTTGTAACTTTTGGGATATCTTTTCGAAAGAACATTTTCCTTATATTATTTTATAATCATATGAATTTTATTAATTTGAAACTGATATCAAAGCATCCTCCTTTGATTGGGCTACAAGAAAAGCAGGGGGAATACTCTCCCCCACTTCTTCCTCCTCTCAATTGCACAATACATGGGCCATTTGGTGTGCTGCTTTGTTTCCATTTCGGTCCACATGAGCCCACTCGACCCGACCCAGTCCCCTTACTTTCTCCAGCACTTCGCAACACACATCTCACACTTCTGTTTCCTCTGGTTCTCCACTTCTCAACTGGGAAATGGTGAACAAACAATCAGATTCCACTACACACTCCTCTATCCTCATCCTCCATCCCAGCTCCACTCCATACAAGATCGTCAGGGACTCTGCCAGGGCTGGCGACCACCAGATTCTGATCCTCTTCACTGCCGTCCCCCAAAATCTCGCATGAAAATCATGAATCACCACTCCAAACCCCACACCTTGATCCTTCAAAACTGATGTGTCAACATTTATCTTCACCCCAACATCAATTGGTGCTTCCCAATCTATTTGTGTGGTGTCCTCTTCGCTCCGATTATGTTCAAGGTATTCCTCTAACCATCGCTCCGCACAACCCATTATTTCATATTCCTCCTTTTTTTTCCATTTCACAGCTGATTGTTTCTTTCCGCCCAGATGAACCACAATGCCACCAGGAATTCACCAATCTTCTCCTGAGATTCAGTCTCATGTAATACACACATCCAGTTCTCACAACTAAGTCCCCCCC